CTTCTTAAACTGAATCTCAATTCACGTAAAAGTCTGTCGTTTTCATGAGTCATGTCTTTGAAGACATCGTTTATCACTATTTTAGCCATACTTTCGGTCATTAAATCAAAACGTGTTTTAATTTATGTTTAAATTGTGTTTTAATCACAATTCAGACCAAAAACTCAACACTAAATACACTGTTTGTCAACAAACTTGTTATGAAAGCTCTGTTCATAAACAACGTTACGCTAACTGTAAATACTTTTGCGACAATAGTTTTGTCTAACTTTTGAAAAGTCTTTGATTAAGTTTTTATATCTTTTTGAATTTGTGTTTTAAACATATTTAAAACTAGATTTTAATTAAATTAAAACAAACAATTTCCCCGTTATATAACTGCACGTTATTTCATGCAATTTTATATCACTATAAAAGCAGTGAATTGATACCAAAGAACCCGTTGAAGAGACATATTTAAACAGTGGTTAACAAATATTAAATAATAATCAATTAAACCAATTAATTACTCAAATACTTTATTAAACAATGTGTAATAAAAAATACAATTACAAAAATTGTACAAAATTTAAGCAAAATATCTTTTATATAATTCTTAATACAGTATTATTATATATATTGTATGCAAAGTACACACAAAAATAGCATTCATTTCACTTTTTTGTGAACATTTTTCATATGAGTTTTACAATTATTTTTGCTGAAAAATTGTTTACCGCACCCGACGTACAGACACTTATGAGACTTCACATCATTATGTCTGTCCATATGCTCGGACAGCAACACCTTAGCCGAGTAGCTCTGACCACACTCTGGCCACGAGCACCGGTAGATGCGGTCGTGTCGGCGCTTATGGCGCCTTAGATCATGTTCGGTGGCGTAACTCAATCGGCAGCCGTCGATATCGCAATTGTAGTTTCGGTCCATCACGTTATGCGCTCTCATTACGTGTTGTTTCAACTCATAGGTCGAGTAGTACCGCATCGGACAGCCGACTGTCTCGCAAACAAATGGTTTGATCTTCTGGTGACGATTCTTGTGTTCAATCAAATCATTTTCAGATCTCGTGGCGACCGTACAGTCCGGCCAATCGCATGACCAGAGATTGTGATCGGTGTGAACATAACGGCGGTGTTTATTCAGATAACGCCTTGTTTTGAAAGACTTCCCGCAATCAATGCAATCGCATCGCTGGTCGCGCGACGCGTCCCCCGAGTCCACTGTTTTCTGTTCACACATTCGGTGATACCTTTGGTGACTCTTCAGTAACCTTTCAATGGCGAAGCGTTTGTCACAATCGGGGCATTGGTATGGCTTGTCGTTGGTGTGGGCGGCGCTCACGTGTGCCAACAGGTCGTCCCGTTTGGTGAACCGTCGGTCACAGCCCTCCCAATCGCAGGCGTAGTTGTTATACGACTTGAGGTATGTTTTATGGGATCTGCTGTGAATGCGGAGGTCTCTATCCGAACCAAAACTCTTATCGCAGCCCTCGAACGGACACTTGTATTGACCACCTTTTGAGTGCTTCACTTCATGAATCCCCAGCGAGTCTTTGGTCTTATAGGCGGCGCCGCAGTCGGGCCACGAGCACCGGTACGGCCGCTCACCCGAGTGTACAGTCTTCTGGTGTTTCTTCAAATTGCCTTTCAATGTGAAAGACTTGCGGCAGTTGTCGTAATCGCAGCGCAATTCCCACCTCTCGCCAGCGGTTGATCCCAACTCTTCCGTGTCTTCGTTATCAGCAATTGACTCGTTGTTGTCGTCAGCCGAGTGGCCATTGCGTGGACTCTCGTTCTCTGACACTATCTTCTCCTTTAATGTCTTCTTCGTCTGCGATCTCGTGCGACAATTAGTGCCGCTATTCTTCGGCGACGCCTTCACTGACAACTTCTTCTGTCTTCTCCTCTTCTTCGGGAGTATCGGCGACTCGTATTCACCACTCAATACATCGCATATGTCTTCTCCTGAAGACTTTTTGTTCTCTTCTTCGATATTGTCGTCAAACTCGTGGCCATCCGTTAGGTTTGTCTCGTATTCATCGCCAGATGTGTCCATATCTTCGGCTAAAGTCTTGTTATATTCCTCTTCATTCGCTGAATAGTCGTCATCGCTCGCAATGACGGCTGCGCTGCCGATGACTGGCATCACTTGTTCCTCAATCTGTTGTCTGTGAAGACATTCCTCGGCTTTAATGGTGTTGTAAATGATCTCCAAATCATTAAACTTGGATTCATTGCCGATATTCTCCTCACAAATACATGTGTTTCTGAAGTCTAACGACAATTGTCTGTATTTTTCCATTAATTCATTACTTCTTAAACTGAATCTCAATTCACGTAAAAGTCTGTCGTTTTCACGAGTCATGTCTTTGAAGACATCGTTCATCACTATTTTAGCCATACTTTTGATAATGAAATCAAAACTTGTTTTAAATAATTGACTAAACTGTGGCTAAACTGATAAATTGTAAGCAAAAAACTGAAAGCATGTAATGATCTACTGTTGGCCCTATACTGTACTGTAGTGTACAGTCTGTACTACACTATACTCGGCAACAATGAGAACATTAGGGTAACATTGGGGGGAACAGTGGCAACATTGGGATCATAAAGGTTAAAAACAAAACATATTCACATATAATGTAGCAATAAAAAAGTGTGGGATTATGAATATAACTTATATAAGTATAATATACATTGAATGAAAGGGCACTATATTTAGTCAAACAATGTAACGTTTATAAAGAGTGAGTAGTACAACACTTTTATGATGATGCAATTTAGAAGTGAAGTTTCAATTGGATCACTGGTGACAGGCATTGCATACCTGGTTATAGCAAACGTTGTATTTTAAATTCAAATCAACTTTGATTTATATATATATTTCTTTTTAATTATACACAAAAATATATAATTTAATTAAAAAGTAATACAAAATGAATGGAGAAGAGGAATAGAGATGTGTTGTGGACTCACTTGTGTGTGGAGTCTGTCTGGAAATCACTGTTTTATTGTTGCCTTTCATTACTCTATTCCCAGAAACAGTCATAAAAAGTCTTAAACTAATTAAGAAAGTGATAGAAAACAGAGAAATACATGTTTTAACCACTTTTCAACATTTCTAAGTTAGACTAAAATTTTAAGTTAGAAATGTTGAAAAGTGGTTAAAACATGTATTTCTCTGTTTTCTATCACTTTCTTAATTAGAAATTCTAACCAATGCTAACACATAAATAAGGAATCCTGTAGATCGATCCATAGATATAGTATTATCTCTAAACTGATCCATAAATACATTTAAATATATTTTATGAATTTTTAATTCAATTGTTGGCTTAAATTGTTTTTAAGAAAAATTCAATCAATTGTTTAAAATTTTAAAATCAATTTGTTTTCAAAACTACACATTTGTTTCGCAAAACGTTGTCTGCATTTGAATCCGAGATTTGATCCGTGGATGCGATGGACAGACAAGAGCTTGCATTTCATGACAACTACTTTTTGGACTCAAATACTAATCATTTTCTTGTATTCAATGTTTAGATGATCT